AATTTCACATTTCTTCTACATTAATGACCCATTTTAAATACACTTTAAATACACTTTTAATCCCTTTAAGCTATCTTTGACAGTCGGTACTGCCAGGTTGTGTTTACATTCAATTATTTTTTCACATATTCAGAATTGTTTTTATAGTTGGTCATTCATAGGTGGCACAACCCTTAGGTTAATAGAATCGCTGTAAAAGAAGGCGATAAAAGTGTTCATGTTACATTCTAAAAAAAAACAATTTATTTTAAAAACGTCAAATATGCTTGTTTTATTTATAAGGTCTGGCGTGGACTGGCTCCACCTCCGGTGAACGACTTCATAAAACCGAGGACGGGTTGTGGTATTAGGCCTATCATTAGCAGGGATTGTGAGGTGGCATATAGGCCAACATCTTTTGAACAGAAAGTATTGTCTGTAATAGGGAGTAAATATTAAAATAGCTTACCGTGGTCAATAAGACAATGTTCTACTTATCACCTTTAAAAATGGCAGTCACACTTTAGTTTAGCCTTTTTATAAACTCCTAATTGCTTCTTATTAAAAGTTAGTAAGGTAGTAGTTTAGGATTTGAATGTGGTCATGCAGAATAACACATTAGTATGTGCTTTATAAATACTAATAAACAGTCACGAATCAGTTGTGTAAACATTTTACTTAGAATTTTAAATATGTGTCTGGGGTATTTGTCTTTTATGTGGTGTTGTATTTGAGTATGTGTCTTTGTGTGCGGATGTTAATTAGCAATGTTGCTTGTTTACATGTTGTATTTTATACTAATGTTCATTAACATGCATTGGCCCTATCAAATAAATACACAAATGCAAAATAATATCGTCTGAATTAGTAAAACCATCCCTTTTTGGAAACATATGTGCCGACAACTGCTAAATTACAGGAAACAACCTCCTCGTTTACCACAATATATTAATGAAGTTCTGCAACCACAGCAGAGCCAATGCATTTACGAGAAGAAAAGTACTTTCTAGTAGGTCCGACCTTTAATATCGAATGTAATTTTTTTAATGAAAGATATCTTGTGTTTTTTCCTTTCTTAATTTTGCATTGTTTTCATGTTGCACTGTTTAACTGTGACCTCAAAGGTCAAACTGGACACCCTGTCTGACCTCTGAACTCTCTATCAGCCGCATCTAACCATCAGTGGATGGATATGCACATGACCTTTAAACATTCATTCATACTAAAAACGAAACAACAAACAAACACACTTGGTTATATTTCCGATACATCACCCGATACACCAGTGAGAACTACATCTGAAGCCTAAGCCGGTTTTACTGCAGGATCTGCCGGAGAGAAACCGGATCAGAAAATCCTGAACTTTTTTACTTGTTAACAACATTACAAAAAAAAAAAAACACAAAAAAACAGGTATCAAAGACAAAATCCCTAAAGATAAACGAAAGAAAAAAAGACATTCACAAGACACCAAATACAGAATCATAGGCTATGTGACTATAGATTTCCCTTTTACATTTTTCGCATAAAGAATTTGCCGTTCAGGATACCTTTATCTTCATGAACATTAAATAACAAATAATTGCTTAACACATTTAAACCGGATCAGATTATCTCTGTTTGCCCTGTAACGTCTGCCAGATGAAGTTTAAACACAGATGCTCAGTGTGTGTGTGTGTGTGTGTGTGTGTGTGTGTGTGTGTGTTTTATCCGAGGGCTTCTCACTGCTCGAGTCCTGTGTCATGGGCATAGGTCATGGGAGGTTCCCTCACGACACTGTGACACAGTTCAAACACACACACACACACACACACACACACACACACACACACACACAGGTGTGTGAACAGGAAGCAGAGATGCAGTGACACTGACAGTAACTCTGATACCTGAGGCAGAACACGAGAAAACAAGTCTAAACTCGAGTCAGATCCAACGATCATTTCATTCCACGGAGCCTTGAAGCAGTCGAGTCTCAGCCTTCAGCAACACGGTTACAGTCATGAACAATCTTACAAATAAAGGCTAAAAAGGGGGTTTACGGAGGAATATGCCATAGAAGAACCATTTCGAGAACCTTTTTGCACTAATAAAGAACCTTTTGTGGAATGGAATTTTAAAGGTTCGATGTGTTGTGAGTGTCAATAGCGGTCGCATCGCTGACGCTGATAACCGCATTTTAGAGCTAATTTATCGCGTTTATCAGAGGATATTATTGTAACTTCTACAGAAAGATCCATGTCTGAGTTATATTATGACTCACGGAAACCAACAAACATAAAAAGTGTGAAACCCTCATCAACCACTGAAGGTCTGACTCTGAAGAAGAAGGAGGAGAGAGAGAGAGAGAGAGAGAGAGAGAGAGAGAGAGAGAGAGAGAGAGAGAGAGAGAGAGAGAGAGAGAGAGAGAGAGACTCAGTAACGTGCAGCTCATCTGTAGTTTCATGTTGAGTCGTGTTTCTTTCTACACTGAAGTTCTTCATGCCACTGCAGAAGCTTCACTTTCACACATCTAGAAACGGTAAGCGATTTCTAGCCTTTCTGACAAATAATTACTATAATGAGGGTCAGGAACTCTGTGAGAGAAGATGTATGAGTGCAAGATATGAGTGTGTGAGCGTGAGAAAAAGTTTCTGCCTGGAATTATTCAATCCAGTTTGTGTATTATTTTATTGTTTTATTTGACAGGGGCAATACAGAATAACATCACTCCAATATTTTGAGAAGCAGATGCTCTGTATATGCTTATGATCAATAACTCTACCATGTGTCTCTAAGCTTTTACTAAGAACCAAAGACATCTGACATCCAACAATATAAAATTTAAAACAAGGTAACACAATGTATGTACAGAAAATGTAATACACGCAAAGAAAATAACCAATTGCATGTAGCAGATTTAGAAGGATTTACATGATTTTAGTGTTTCTTTGATTAACTTTGTGGAAAGTGAAAACTTAAAAATAAGGTTCCGTTTGATAACATCAGTTAACATGAACTAAAATGACTTCTAAAGAATATATTAATCTTTCATCGTGTTATTTTCAACATTTACTAATATATTACTAAAATCAAAAGTTGTTAATAATATTTAATGGACATGAGCTGATATGAACTATAATGAACAGCTGTATTTTTTATTAACTAACATTTAAGATGAATAAATACTGTAACAAATGTATTTCTCATTGTTACTGTTAACTAGTATTAACTGTAACACTTTATTTCGATAGTCCACTTTAGAAATAAGTACTTTGCAACTATGTCAACTACTAACCCGAACCCTATCAGTCTACTAATGAGAGCATGTAGTTGCAAAGTTATACTTAATGCATACACTGTCAAAAATTATGATCAATGAGTTATGACAATATATGTTTTTAAATTGCTCTAACTCATCAAAATAAGTTATGCAATTTTCAACTTTTTTTATAAGATTCAACTGTTTTTTTAAAGTCAGTTTGATGTAATTTAAGTTGAAATGACTTAAAAATGCAAGTTGATTGTACTTTTTTTTTTTTTTTTTTAATAAGGCAGCACTTTTTTACAGTGTAAAGTGGACCATCGAACAAAGTGTAACTCATTAACGTTATTGTAAAGTGTTACTGAATCAAATCTGCATATTTCAATGGACTGATTATCTTTAATTTGACGCGTCCTGATGGGAATCATTATACAAATGTAAATCAACAGACTTTGCGAGAGCTTTGACATTTTTAATGTAAGAACATCCGATCAGTTGAGTTGTTCTCCTGCGCCAAACAAGCATCAATCTTTCACATACGCAGTCTCTAATGTAACATGATACAGTTAAACGTTAACATGTGTCTGAGTTCCTCCTCCACATCACTCACACACTTCTGAGACTGAACAACTAACAAACTGGTCATTGGAATGAATCACAAATTAATCGAAACTTTATTAAATATGAAGTAGCGTTCGACCGAATGGGAAGTTACTCAGATGACTTTATTTACCCCCGGTTTCACAGACAAGGCTTAAGCTAGTTTAAGCAGACTAAAATGCATGTTTGAGCTGTTTTTATTTATTTATTGAGATGTAACAAATTATGGCAGCATAGTATAATTTAAAATAGTTTAGATCTCTTTTACATAATATTCATAATAAAAATAATAACAAAAGAAAAACAACAACAACAAAAAACAAAACAAAAAAAGAGGGTTAGGGTTAGTGTTGGAAATGGTCATGCATGCAAGAGAAGCATATCGTGATATAAAAGGGGGTAATTTAGGAAAAACAGTAAATGATTAATGGTTTAATAGCAAGAAAAGTTGAGTGAAAATAAGTTGGGAATCAAGCTATACGCATGTTTGAGCTGTTTTAACTGGAAGCAACCGTCAGTGCCTTCGTTTTGTGATCGTCGTTTGAACCTTTCTGGATCCGCCATCAAATTGATAAGTTTAATTATATCAAGTGCTGTGAGAAAAGGCTATAAATCTCCACCTCCAGCATCCTCACACGCAATATAGCCTACTAGATAAGACTCTTCTTTATGTGTACAGATGTGTGTGTGCAGATGTGTGTGTACAGATGTGTGTGTGTACAGATGTGTGTGTGCAGATGTGTGTGTGTACAGATGTGACGTAATGACGCAAAGACATGCTCGAATCTCCCGCGGAAATCCACCAGTACCACTGGTATTAAAAACATTATTACCAGCTTACCGCTTTGAATCGAGCTACGGCAAGCAGAGAGTTTTGAACACTGGCTGGTTATGTATTTTCTCAAATATGTATTTTGGATCATTTTTAACCCCAAAAAAGCTACGGACTGCAGCTTTAAATGATCCAATTAAACTAAGGCCTAATCCTGGCTTAATCTAATCCCTATCTGTGAAACCAGGCTTTAAAGTTTGGATGACAAAAAAAAGAAAGAAAGTGCATGAGATGATGGTGCCACTGGGGTGTTTGGTTTGTTTCTGCTCACTTTGTTTAGTAAGCCAATGGTGTTTAATGCTCTTGTGTCTTCAGGATACAGTGATGGACCCACATGAAGACGATCTGATCACCTGCACCAACCACTGCTCGCTCCGTGTTCAGCAGCACAGTCCGCCTGAGTAACACTCGACTCTCCTTACGTGTTTTGACCCTGCAGTGATGAAAGTGATGAGCTGAGGAAGACTAACATCTAAAGACGTGACCCATGGATGTGTTGCACCCTTCATCCAGCGCAGGGACGTCCAACTCGTCCTCATACGCTTTCGCCAGCGCCTACCACAGCTACCAGAGCAATGAAGTCCTCCTGCTCCACTATAACCACTCGGGAAAACTAAATCGGGACCCTAACAAAGATAGACTCAAACCGGAAGACATCGTCTTCCTCTTCATCTGCCTCATCATCGTTGTGGAGAACATCATCGTCCTCATGGCCATCTGGAAGAACAAGAAGTTCCACATGCCCATGTATTATCTGCTGGGAAACCTGACGCTCTCAGACCTGCTAGCCGGATTCACTTACATGCTAAATATCATGCTGTCAGGGCCGAACACGCTGAGTCTGACGCCACTGCTCTGGTTTATAAGAGAAGGCTTGGTGTTTATCACACTAGCGGCGTCTGTCATCAGCTTGCTGGCTATCGCCATCGAGCGCTACTTCACCATGCTCAACACGAAGCCTTATTACCGCGCAAAGCGCAACCGCATGTTCGTTCTGATCGGGGTTAGCTGGGCGCTGTCGGTGTTGCTAGGCACCCTTCCCATTATGGGATGGAACTGTTTGGGTGTCCTGGAGTCGTGCTCAACTGTGCTTCCGCTCTACGCTAAAAACTACATCTTCTTCTGTGTGATTGTGTTCATGGCCGTCCTTCTGGGCATCGTCGCGCTGTACGCACGGATCTTTCACTTCGTAAAGTCCAACACGCAGAACCCGAGCTACGTGCCGCGCAAAGCCTACGGGCTTCGCTCGCGGAAATACATGGCGTTGCTAAAGACGGTCACCATTGTAGTGGGAGTGTTTATTCTGTGCTGGATGCCTCTGTTCGTGCTTCTTCTCCTGGACTTCATGTGCTCCCCAGAAGCGTGTCCGGTGCTACGCAAAGCTGAATACTTCTTGGGCGTGGCCATGATTAACTCCTTCATTAACCCGATTATCTACACGATGACTAGCAGAGACATCCGCCGGGCCATCCTGAAGCTGCTCTTCAAACGCTGTCTGACCACCAAAGACGGGCAATTGAGGAATATCGGCATTAAGATTAGCTTCACCAAGACTGACGCAAACCGTCACGGGCAGGAGATGACCGTTTCATCGGGAAATGCCACAACCGTAAATGTCAAATCCATCTATCCGAAGCTCAAGTTATCCGTCATCGCCTAACGCCATGTCCTGAGCCTAGCGTGTGATGAAAGGCATCTTTTCCATGTTAATCAGAGTTTTCCTAATCAGCCACAATGACAATACGTGACAATTCTAGTTTAGAAATTTAGCGATTTTGTGGCTGGAAAAACATACGAAGTATGACAATGATGATCTCAGGTAGTAATCAAATGCTTCATTTAATGTTAAAAGCATCTAATGTGAGTTTGAACATCATTTTGCATGACCTTTATAGCCGTGTTGAGAGCGACAATGGATAATTCACCTCTGATCTTGAAAATGAAAGGAAACAAGAACGATCGAACTGAACTCAATGTGAACAAATAAGAGTATTCTATGGCAAAGATTATTTGTCACTCAGTATGTATTTTTATTCATATAAAAATTGTGTAATATTTATGAATTTGATGTACTTATGCATTTCGTTGCGTAAGTAGTGTATTTCCAGAGACTCCGCCCACACTCTCTTCTGATTGGCTGTGATGTTGAATTGATTTGGTTGCGATTACAGCGCATTTGCAGAGACTCCGCCCACACTCTCTTCTGATTGGCTGTGATGTTGAATTGATTTGGTTGCGCGTACAGCGCATTTCCAGAGACTCCGCCCACACTCTCTTCTGATTGGCTGTGATGTTGAATTGATTTGGTTGCGAGTACAGTGCATCTGCAGAGACTCCGCCCACACTCTCTTCTGATTGGCTGTGGTTTTGAATTGATTTGGTTGCGAGTACAGTGCATTTCCAGAGACTCCGCCCACACTCTCTTCTGATTGGCTGTGATGTTGAATTGATTTGGTTGCGATTACAGCGCATTTGCAGAGACTCCGCCCACACTCTCTTCTGATTGGCTGTGATGTTGAATTGATTTGGTTGCGCGTACAGCGCATTTCCAGAGACTCCGCCCACACTCTCTTCTGATTGGCTGTGATGTTGAATTGATTTGGTTGCGAGTACAGTGCATCTGCAGAGACTCCGCCCACACTCTCTTCTGATTGGCTGTGGTTTTGAATTGATTTGGTTGCGAGTACAGTGCATTTCCAGAGACTCCGCCCACACTCTCTTCTGATTGGCTGTGATGTTGAATTGATTTGGTTGCGATTACAGCGCATTTGCAGAGACTCCGCCCACACTCTCTTCTGATTGGCTGTGATGTTGAATTGATTTGGTTGCGCGTACAGCGCATTTCCAGAGACTCCGCCCACACTCTCTTCTGATTGGCTGTGATGTTGAATTGATTTGGTTGCGAGTACAGTGCATCTGCAGAGACTCCGCCCACACTCTCTTCTGATTGGCTGTGGTTTTGAATTGATTTGGTTGCGAGTACAGTGCATTTCCAGAGACTCCGCCCACACTCTCTTCTGATTGGCTGTGGTTTTGAATTGATTTGGTTGCGAGTACAGTGCATTTCCAGAGACTCCGCCCACACTCTCTTCTGATTGGCTGTGGTTTTGAATTGATTTGGTTGTGAGAGACTCCGCCCACACTCTCTTCTGATTGGCTGGAATCTTGTCACTCCTTGTCTTGTTAGGACACAGTGTAAAAAGTGTTCTTGGCCATGACATCTTCAGTGCTGAAAAAACTTTGAGGACTCCGACTTTGTTACACAAACCCAAGCACATTCAGGCTCTGGATTGAATCATGACAAACCAAACCGAATTAAATGCACATAATAAATCACAGCCACACACCACAGCTGGAAATAAACTGAGCATTTCAAACACAACAATCGGACTTTGGCAATATTCCCCTTTGCTTGCGTTATGTAAATGAAGATGTTGTGGGCAGAAAGAGGTCTCTCTCTACGCAGGTGTTTTCCAGCATTTCAACATTGGGCCACACGGCCTTTTACATTTGCATTGAGTTAGTCACAATTACATTTGCAAAAATATCCAGACATACTTCAAAAAAACATATGAGAGTTTAGAAATAAATATAAAAGCCTTTATTTATTCATGGCCATGGCTTTTTATATTCTTTCTAAACTCTCGAGTGCCTTGGCTCACATCCAAAGAGCACAGAGACACGGACTTCATACCCCAGTAGCAATCTTTGCATTTTGTGTTTATGATAGACATATCTATCAGTTCATCAAGCTGTATCACTGAGATCTGCAGTGCATGCAGAGACTTCTCACAGTTTTCTGCAGACTGCGCGCCACAGCGAATGGCCCTGTTGTGATATAAAACCATATACAGTGTGTCTGTAGATTCTGATAATGTAAAATATACAAACTCTTCACAGCAACATGAGGAAACTCACTGTAAATATTCCACTTCAACAGAAATGCGCTTATTGAATGTTGAACTGTAAGCATATTTTAACACAAAAGCATTTAAGATTATTTTGTACAGTGTAAATGTTTGACTTGTTTTTTTAAGCTGTTTTTACTAAGTTAATTTTTTTCTTATTTGACATTAAATATTTTTTTAAATAAACAATGTGTGTAGCTTGTTCATGCATTTCACATAGGCCTACTGTTAAAAAATTATGAAGTTTGACAGTCACATTAAAGAGGGAAATCTGAAAGGTAAAAAATATCATATGTGTGTGTGTGTATAAACAAGGTGAGGTTGCCAATCTGTTCATCTATATGTCATTACCCTGAACACACATCTGTTCTTTCAGATCAACACTTTCTTTAAACAGTCACAGCTATCGGGTTCAATGGGGATATAAAACTAGGGTTCTTAACTTGATATTAAAGAACCCTTTATGCCAAAAAGAGTCTATATAAGGAGAAACTTCTTAATTGGGTGGTTGATTTCACTATTTTAACTCTAGTTTGTAATGTTGCTGTTTGAGCATTAACATCTGCAAAGTTACAACGCTCAAAGTTCAAAGCAAAGGGAGAGATTTTCTTTTACAGAAATCACTTTTTAAGGACTACAACAAACGGCTGGTAGAGACTACACGGGTTAGTGACATCACAAACCCTAAAATTTACATAAACCCCGCCCCCGGGAACGTTAATCAATGACTAGAAGATAGTTAACTTCACATCAGCTACATAAATGCATCAACTAAC